GGGGGTGACAAGTTATTCCATTAGATCATACATATAATATTTTAAAAAAGTTATTTTTATTTAATTCTCTGGCTAAGATAATACTTAAAGAATATTAAGAGAGAGTGGTTAAACATTGTAATAAATATTTGAATTTTGAATTATAAATATTAACTCTGTATCTTCCTTCATGCTAAAAATTTGAATAATAAGTATTTACTAAGCTCTTCAGATATACTTACTTATTTTTCTTATTAGAACATTGTTACATTTTATTTTCTTAGAAGAAATCATCATATTTACCTTTTAAAATATTTCCTATGTACTAATCTCATTGATTTGTTCACAGATATTTCAAAATTTCAACTGTTAGAATATTTTCAAATTAACAACAGCATTTCTAATTATGACGATTTCAAAGGTAACAGTTTTTTCCTCAAATTTTTTCAATTTTCAGTAATGCTCATAACATTAACAAAATATGACTTAAAAAGTTAAACAGCCGAGCAGATTCCAGAACCTCCATCTTACATATTTTATTCAGATATTTCACATCTGTTATTTTATCATACCTGTATTTTTCTATAATTGGAATTATAACAATCAAGATGAGGATACTAGTCTGAATAAATCATTGTATCATAATGATAATTCCTCATCTCAGAAATAGCCAAAAGCATTGTGACTATAACAAACAAGATGAAGATAATAGCCCGAATAGATCAATGTATAATAATGATAATTGCTCACCTCAGAAAGAGCTGAAACATTGTGACTATTAAAAACAAGATGAGGATACTGTATAATAATGTGTAATAATTATAATTCTTCATCGAAGAAACTGCTAAAACATTGTGACTATTACAACCAAGATAAAGATACTCGTTTGAATAGATCAATGTATAATTATGATATATCCACATATGAGAATGAGCCATAACGATTGAGACTATTACAACCAAGATGAGGATACAAGTCTTAACATTTCAATGTATAATAATGATAATTCATCTCGCTGAAACATTTTGACTATAACAATGAAGATGAGGATACTAGTCTGAATAGATCAATATATAATAATAATTCCTCATCTCAGAAATAGTCAAAAACTTTGTGACTATAACAACAAAGTTGAGGTTACTAGTCTGAATAGATCAATGTATAATAATGTTAATTCCTCACCTCTGAAAGATCTGAAACATTTGTGACTATTACAATCTAATTGCACTTCCTAAAAAATCGTTATCAGTAGCGTTTTCTCTTTTTTCCATCTAAGATGGATATTCACCTTTTAAGAACACTCTGACAAAACTGTCGTATATTTTCTGGTGCCTGGTCTGAAGATAAAAACTGAACTAGAGTTGTGATGCTAAGCACAGTGTAGACATTTATTCTTCATATTGGGAACAAGTGAAAAGTTTCTTAAAAGATTAACTATACCGAGCAACAAACAAACAAAAAGAATATTAGAAAAGTTTCTACAAGTTCCAGTAAACATGGAACCATTAGCATCATCAAATTATTTTTCCTTTTTTTTTATCCTTAAAAGAGGTTAATTTTGTTCTGCTTAATTCTTAGGAATATATGAAAGAAGAATTTTTATGCTGCTGATAAGAATCATTGCATCGATAATAAGAATGGCTTGCACGGAAGATCTGAATAATGTGGCATGGATTGCGGCAAAAGATGGATGGAATTTTTTAAAAAATGGTAAAGAAAGGAGAAATGAAGTATCTGGGCTTTAGAATTGCTTATATGAAAAAGAAGAATAGATTTCCCCAAATGATGGTACGAGCATCTAAATTTACTTGTTCTTCTTTTAAAATGCTTGGTCTGAAAATGGCAGCAAAGAGTTGCACATTTTTCTTGAAATAAAGAGTAAAATTGAAAATGAAACAGGAGAAAGATAGCAACATTCTCAGCATTTTTAGCTAATGCTCAGAGCCAGTGCAAGGGTCTCGTGTCCCCTTCCCCCTCTTTATGAAAGTCTGCAAATCTATATTGTCTATTAAGATCAAATGCCATGACCGCCATGCCTGGTATAGCATCATGGCATTGGTACGGAACAGGATATTTGCTGCAGGTTGCCTAGTAAGAAAAGCTTCAGAAATTTATTTAGTTATCATGTATCATGATTCATGCACAAACTGAATAATCATCGTATTGTAGATGTTCAAAATGTTTGCCTGAATATTCAACACAAAATTGTAAGCATGGTAAACCAAGAGGCAGTAACTTTGCGGATAGTGTCAAGAGGAATTTTATTCCAATCTTCAATTAAGTTCCACGTCAGTAGCTGGTTTTTGTTTGTTATGTTTTGGATGGGTTTATTCATCCGTATCTGAAAAAGAAATGTTTGGTAAAAACGTATATATTCCTCTACGCTGGGGAAGAGATTAAATAGTCTGAATATGTGTTACACACATTTGAGATAATTTCATTATCAGAAAGAGCAATACAAATACAGAAGGATGTGTTCCCAGTAAAAAAGCGGTAAATTTAGAAAGAAATTTATTTAGCTATCATGATTCATGCACAAACTGAACAATAATTGTAGATGTTTGAAATGTTTGCCTGAATGTTCAACACAAAATTGTAAGCATGATAAACCAGAAAGCAGTAGCTTTGTGGATGGTGTCAAGAGGAATTTCATTCCAAGCCTCAATTAAGTTCCACTTCAATGAGTCAATATCGATGATGTCACAACAATGGTTTTGCAAGTGAGTTAGGAGTATACGCCAGATACAGTAATCCATAGCATTCAGATCTGGGCTTTTAGAGTTCTGCTGTGATGGACCAATCAGAGCTGGTGTATTTTCTCAAAGAATAAATTTGCTGCTTTTTTACTAGGCATCCTGTATCATCCATCTTAATTCTCCAAGACAAAGCATGCACATGTTAACAACTCCAATCAATGAAGATAAAAGATCAAAATATATATAAACTGGATCATTTCTTAACTGGGATAAAAATTTCGATTTGTTTCTCCAAACGAAAGAAAGAAATCCTAATGTAAATATCTGTGATGTTTTTCTCAGTGTAAAAATATTGTCTTTTTCTAAATAAAAAAAACTGTGGAAAATAAAAGTTACCAGTGATGAACTCTCCCCTTACAGGTGGAAACACTGTTGTTGGTTGCTCAGGAGCATCTTTTTTGCAACACTGCTATTGTTACCTGGGCATTCTATGCATCTTGCCTATTTTTTTTTAAAATAGAGCTAGACTCATCTCCACCAAAATTAGCAGAATTTTCAACAATAAATACGGATCTTTCATCATTTAAAATATTTTTACAAAGTATCTTTAATTTGAATAAAAGTATCTTTAATTTGAATAAAAATATCTTTAATTTGAACAAAAGTATCTTTAATTTGAATAAAAATATCTTTAATTTGAATAAAAGTATCTTTAATTTGAATAAAAGTATCTTTAATTTGAATAAAAATATCTTTAATTTGAATAAAAATGTGTTTAATTTGAATAAAAGTATCTTTAATGTTGATAAATTTATCTTTAAAGTTATGGGTACGTGGCGGTGGTTAGAATGTTCACATTCTGACCATGAGACCCAGGTTCAAATCTCATCATGGTTGATTTGTCAGGAAGGAGACTTCCTGATGTTATTGGACTGGAAGGTTCGATCCCAGCATACGGCACCTTTGGAAAGTGCCTGAAAACCATACCATGGGTTGATTCAAGCCCTGTGAGTGAAATTGGGTAGACAGAACCCTTGGGTGCAGTCGATAGCTGTGCTAGCAGGAAGTCACAAGTCATTGTGGCTGAGGGCTTGAGTGTTCAAAATTGTTGATCATGCTAGATAACAAGCTCTTTCACAGAAATTGTAACTAAGGACTGCTTAGCATAGTTGCTGTATAAACTATAGGTGGGCTCTGTGGGTGTTGAATAAACACAAATGTGCCTAAGCAAGCATCTGCAGTAGGAATTGACTAGAAGCCCTAGTAGATGAGTACCCTTGAATGCGAGTGACCAGCTATACAATGTGAATAAAGATATCTTTAATGTGAATAAAGATATCTTTAATGTGAATAAAGATATCTTTAATGTGAATAAAGGTATCTTTAATGTGAATAAAGGTATCTTTAATGTGAATAAAGATATCTTTAATGTGAATAAAGATATCTTTAATGTGAATAAAGATATCTTTAATGTGAATAAAGGTATCTTTAATGTGAATAAAGATATCTTTAATTTGAATAAAAGTATCTTTAATGTGAATGTATGTATATTTAATTTGAATAGACATAAAGACTGTAAAGAGACAATGAGTTTTCATATTCTGCGAAGATTACTGTTGCTCAGTTTTGCCAAAGACAAAAGATATCAAATTAATGGAATGGTTTCCAACCTCTCTAGATATTAATCCAATAAAAAACTTTGGTCCATCACTTAAGCAGATTTAATATGAGAATGGGAAATAATATTTAAGCAAAATAGATCTTAGGGAAACAGTAAAAACTGCTGCAAGTAATGTTAAAATCGAAACATTAGAAGCTGTGGAAAATAAAAGTTACCAGCAATGAACTCTTACCATAGGAGTAGAAGCACTGCTGTTGGTTGCTCTGGAGATTTGACTGACTCTTCTTGTTTTCTCCCAACTGCTTAAAATGTGATTGCCCTTTGGGGCTTAAAACAGGCCCAATTACTCGATAAGATGGCTAATATTGTTAACTACATATCTGTTCTGCTTCATTGAAGAGCATCTTTTTTGCAACTCTCCCATTTTTTACCTGGGCATTCTATGCGTCTTTCCTATTTTTTTGAAGATAGAGCTAGACCTGTCTCCATCAAAAATCAGCAGACAAAACAAAGTATAAAAGTCTGGATGTGATTCTAATTAGGAAAAAGTTAAGTTGTAAAAATTTGTTTTGATTTTCTAAATAACAGAAAAAAAATCATAGCATAAATATCTGTGATCGTTCTGTTATTAGGAAACAAATCTAGGTGTAAAAATATGGTTTCTTTTTCTGAATAAAAAAGTTAAAAGAAAATGAATATAGCAATCACCCAACTTTCTATTCAAACCAAAATATACTGTGTTGTGTCTTACTCTCAGGTGATGTAGTTTTACTTATGGGTAGAACTTATTCAAAATTTAGCTTTGTCAATAGCAGGCAGGTGTAACCTTTCACCATGATGTTGACTTCACAGCTTTAACCTTTTGCTGTTCTCTAGAGCTGTAAAAGTTAGCACGCGGAAGAATGAAGTAGATAAGCTACCAATACAAAGAAAAATATTTCTATAAAAAAAATGTATTGATTTAAAAACTATTATTTACTCCTTCTAGCTTTTAACGAGATATTTGTCTACATTTTTTACCTGATTATAAAGTTTGATTTTCTATGTGATATTTGGAAAAAGATCAGAATTATTGGGATAGGGAAAATCTACTTTCTGTTCTGATGAGCTTTGCGCTTTGGTGCCTTGACTTCTAAGCACAGTACTAGATTGGCAGTTAGGTCTCCTCATTTGACATTTTAAATCGCTAGATCTAACAATAAACTCTTTGTCAATAGTTTCTTCATTTTCACATCTCTCCTGTGGAACTCTCTTCCGGCTTCTTGCTTTCCAGTCAACAGTCATCTTCAAAATTTTAATGTTATGTCAGTTGTCATCATCTGTCTCCTTAATTGCCATTAATTTTTGGATCTCTCTCTCTCTTTAATATTATTTTTTTCTCGGATTATTTCACACTCAGTAACCCTTGCATCTTAGTGGCTTTATTACTTTGCTTGGGGTGTAGCGATTTTTTAAAAAATCCCTTTTATAGCAGTGGATGTAGAGCGATCTTCCCACAGATGAAGAGAAAACTGGAGGCAACAGAAATGGGGCTCTACAGAAGGATACTGAGAATTCCGTGGATGGAGCGAGTAAGCAACTAGGAAATCTGAAAGAAAATACTAACAGGATGAATCAGAAAGAGACAGCTGAAATTGATTGGGCATATAATGAGGAGGGAAGGCTTGGAAAACTAAACCCTCAGAGGGCATATCAAGGGCGGAAAACCAACTACCTGACAAACTACCTTGTGTGAACGGAGGGTGGGAGAAGAATCGAGAGGCTTGGCAAAGGGAATAAACCCTGCTAATTAAACACAAAAGATAAGGAGTTGTGGAGGGCCATGTCCACTGACATCCTGAAGGGATGTGGCACATAAAAAATAAGGAGATATATATACTTAGTATCAGAAAGAAACAGTTGACATTTCTAGGATACAAAACGAGGAAAGAGAGCTTAAAGAATTTGACACACATAGGACAAATGAAAGCAAGTTAAACAGAAGGAAACAATGAATAACCTACCTAATGAGATTGTGCAAATTGATTAGGGGGTTGGCAACCTACAGCACATGTGGCACACCAAGCAATTTACAATGTTTATACATTCTTTTTATAGATACAAACATTTAAATAAATGCTCTGTTTATAATAAACAGTATTAACGACATTTACTGGCCTGAACCGTTATATAGCCTAATGTGCTTTACCGATTGGGCCACAGAGGAGCGTTTCGGTTAGCAAGGTCAATTTTACTGTTTTTAAACTACAATTCTCCATGATTTTCTCTCGTACATTCATATCTGCTCGATGTGTATCCAAATGTAAACAAATGACGTCACACATTATGAAATGGACAAAGTCCGACAATTATTTTAAGACATTTTCATGTTTATACATTCATCTTGACTGTTAATTGTTCACCAGAGTAAAATGTCATTAGATACAATAATACTTCTAAAATCCATATATAATTACATAAAAGATCTTCTGCTGTTTTACCAAAAATTGTTGAAAAAGTATATCTGGGATCTTATGCATGAAATTGAGATCTCTCTTAAACTAATATTCACTCACTTATGTATCCTTTCATATTACTGTAACTTGTTTTGTCCTTTCAAAGTACTTCTTCAGTCTAAATAATGTTTTCCTTAATGGAATCACACACAAACACGTATATATATATATATATATATATATAAAATTCCATTCCCCATATATATATATATATATATATATATATATATATGGGAATGGCAAAAATACAACAAAATTCACTTGTAATTCTACGAGTGTAAGTAAAAAACTGATATGTCCCGGAAAGGGATATATTTGAACGAAGTAGCAAAGTGATTTTGGCTACTATAACCAAGTAGAATATGGTAACAGTAATCGATCGACTGGTACACGTTGTAGTTGCAGGTAAGAAGTGTAGATCAATGGCGTAGTCCAGTGGGTGTCGTTATAGACTTAGCTCTCAGACTAAGGCTCTTTGACTCACCTACACGTCTGTCGGTATTTATGATGGACACCAGCCAATCATATTCCAGTGAGGGGGAACACAGGTGTATGCATATTCCATTATATCAAAAATTATCAGCACTTTCACTTAATACATCTTTAGGTTTGTTAACCATAGCATTCTGTTCATGCATGCTTATAGTTGGTACTGTTGTGGTCACATGATCAAAGTTTGAGCTTCATCATAACAGTTTTCTTGCTGCTGTTACAGTGTAAACATGGCCACTCCACTAGCAGTGTTCCCCAAGGAGAAACAAAGAGCAGTGATCTGAATGTTCTACCTCATTGACGACTACTCGTCGGTTCACCATTACCCTCATGCGAGCTTGCTGAATCTTCTCATCACTGGTGGAGGTTGATGGATGTCCTGCTCCTTCATGCATCATGCTTGTCAAGTGACTTTTAAACTTCTCTATACACATGCAGCAGTGTACTATTGCTGTATTGTGTTAAAAGCCTCTGATAAATTTCGGCCCTTGACACACCTTCCAACTAGAGAAATCGGAGATCACTGCTCTCTGTTCCTCCTTGACACTAATAAAACCTACAAAACTACAAACAAAGAATGGTACCACATAACAGAAACCACATCACTTGAGGACTACCAACAGTGGTAACAACTAAAATGGATAGCATATGTAATTCAAAGAGAAAATAATGACATAGTCAAGATGATGACATTCCACATGACTTCAAATAAAACGTTAGGAAGGAAACCATGTTGATACTGGGAAGAGTGATAACAGCTACTGGGATTGAGAAACCTATTTTCAAGAAAAATTGTTTAAAGAAAAAGATTTTATAAATTTCAACCAAAAGTAGCAGTGGCTGCTCAGTCAATGATAACTGATTGTTTCCTTATAAGGAAATGGCTTATATTACTATTATGATTACTATCAGATATGTGGTGCATGAAGACATTTGATACAGATTCTACATGATGACGTAGTCCATTCCTCAAGATTCAGAAAGGCCATGTGATCCAATCAAGTCACCTGGATTGATTGATTTGTTTTTTACAGCTTATCAACCTTTTTCAGGTTATTTAAAGCCAGAAAATATTTTTAGATTATAAGAATTTGGAGGTGGGGGTGATAATGATTATTTACATGATACAAGTCCTACTAATTAACCCATAGCTGGAGGGAGAAGAGGCGGATTCAAACCTTTCCCAAGGGTATTTACACGTAAGTGAATATAACAAACTTGACTGGAATTGGAACATGGTTCTCCGATTTCCAATTCTGACCCACTATCTATTACACCACTTGCCTAGCCAATCTTATAGCACCTGGTATAGTGGTTACTAAGTAATGACCAAGCTCGACATTGCTTAACTTTGGTGACTGGATGAGGACCAGTGTTTAGAGCATAATATGGATATAAACCAACCAGTCTAGAGATAGTGACTTGATAAAAATACTTGTCCCTCAGCATCTTTGGATACTCATGGGGATGTGCAGGCATGTAAAAATCGACAAGTCATGTGAGTTGTCCAGTCGGCCATAGACAGAGATAGCGTCTGCTTTTAATAGGTTGTCATTAATTTCCTGTAATGTCTTTGCTTCGGCAAGTTTAAATTTCCTTTTGTTCTTACACATTCTTGTAGCATGGCCTCTTCTGTAATTCTCTTCATTCTAAGAACCACAGATTTCATGTTTTCCCAATCTGCTTCCGGAATAGTCTTTTCCAATTTCACTGGATTTCTTAGAAGCATTAGCAAGGTGGTCTCTGGATCTGCATTTAAAATGACTTTTTCAAGCTCTTTTCTCCATATGATTTAAATGCAGCTTATTCAGTTAATCCAGCTTCATGCTAAGTGCTTCCTTCTCTGCATTGTCCATAGCTATGCAATCTTAATTGTATTCTCAAATGTTTAATCTCCTCCTTTGGATAACAATCTCTTTTGAAGGTTAAAGATTTTGAAAATTCTGTCTGTGATCATTTCTTTCGTCTTGTTCCCCAAATTGCACTTTTTACATATTTTCTCAACTCAGCAATGCACTCGCTTCTATTTCCCTTTGCACTTTTCCATCTCTTTGTTTGCCACAGAATTTAATTGTCGCTCGAGAGCATTTTACAAATCATGCTATGGCATGTCACTAAATTTTCTTGGATGCATTCTGAGAATGTGCAGGTTAAAAGTTAACTGTCCTATATATATATATATATATATATATATATATATATATATATATATATGTATATAAAGGTAAAAGACAATAGAAAAACTGTATCATTAGCAATGTGGACTTTTTCAAGGCAAAAACAAAATGAATTTATTAAAAACAATGTAACTATTAACAACAAAACAAAATGTCCTTAGCAACTGGAAGAATTTAGAAAATGCTATTGTGTTCATATTGTTAACTGAAAATTACGTCAAGATCTATCACATGTAGAAATATTGTTTTTATTGTTGTGTTGACGGATTCAACCATTTTCTTTGGATTTCTTGATTTTTAATAAATTCATTTCGTTTTTGCCTTGAAAAAGTTCACAGTGGACGAAATGCATTGGCTAATAATACAGTTTTCTTATTGTCTTTATACATATTGTCTTTTTCTACAGGTTAACTCTGGGATATTTTTCATATATATATATATATATATATATATATATATATATATATAAGTAGGTCAGTGAGGTCAACAACGATTGGTGACAGTCTGTTTCATGCCTCAACACAATCTTCAGGCATAAAACTGTTGGCACTTAGTGTAGAACTCAATGCCCACTTTTATATTTACATATGCTCTGATATTGAGCACTTTTACCCAGAAATATAGCATACCTTAAGACTAATATCCCCATCACAACGAAATGCTGATTTTATTACAGTTACAATAAGTTTGTCTTTGTAATTTACCTCTGAGGATGATCTTGGAGGAGATCAAAGCACTTGGATAGGAAAAAGCTACAGTGCCTTCCTTGATGAATTTCATCTTAACATCAAGAAACTGATTAGAGAACTACAAAGGATCAGTATAAAAATAAGTAGACAATATGTCTATATTATTCAATGAAACCTATACATATTGTGAGAAATTATCAGTTTCTCTTGAATTTATTCCTGAAGATAATCAGAACTCAAAGAGTGTGAGTTCAATACCCGGTTAAGGAAGTGCAGAACTTTCAGAGGGGAATTAACAGGAGATAACTGATAACTGACATCCATTAGACATGGCACAAGGAACTAGAACAGTCTACCCCAGTGAGTGAAATAACAGGTTCAGTTTGACATTCCAACCACTTGAAGAAGGCCGGAGCATACAATAGATGAAATGTTGTAATAAATATGGTGACAAAGATGAGGACAATAGTCCAAATAATGTAAATAGTGTTCTTTTTTCATATTTTCTTTTTGTTCTTTGCCACATATGCACTGACCATATTTCCCAAATGATATATATCATGATATGTAAGTATTTTAGGGTAATTAAAAATGCCTCTTGAATATTTATACTATCACAGGATCTGCTACAACTTGTTGACTCCTATTTGATTAAATCTTCAACTAAATACTAATTCCGAACAAGAAAACATAAAAGGAACCTTCTAGGAGTACTAATTTCCGCTCTTAATTTTACTTTACATAGAACAAAGCTTTAAAAGTTTTTTGTAGCATAAAAATTGGTCTTCTTCATTTCACACTTCTAACAAATGTCCTTCATTCAACCCTGTGATTATGAATGACAATCACCAACTTAACACAGTGGCATGAACCTTAAATATTATGGCTTAAATGCTTTCATGTTATAAAGTCAAAAGGCCTCTTACTCTAGAGTTAATCAACAGAGTTAGAAAATTTATTCAAGTAAAATCAAAGTAAATTAGAAAAGACAAAAAATGAAGAAAACTATTCTTGAATATTGTTTATAACAACAGAGACTGCAAAAAATAATCTTAAGTGCTTTTTATTTATAAATATTAATTTTATTCACTTGATAATAAAAGAAACATTTCCAATCAAATTGTATTTGTTTTTCCTAATGGTACTCATAAAAATTCAGAAGCAAATGTTAAGATGTAAGGATAAAGTGAATAGAAAATGAAAGCAAAACATTTGAAGAGAATGGGAGAGTAATTGAAAACAATAGAAAGAAGGAAAGGTAGGACTAGAAGAGATAAGTGTGGTGGGGGGGAATGGTAGAGAGTTGCAAGGATGAAGGGTGAAGGATAAGATGAAAAAAGTGGGAGGAGGAAGGAAAAGATTGAAAATGAGGAAGGAAGGAAGGTAATATAGAAAGAGGTAAGGATTTGAAAGAAAGAAGGAAGCATGGAAAAAGGGACAGGGTTTAGAAAAAAAAAGCATGAAAGAAGAGATAAAGATCTTTAGGAAGGGAGAGGAAGTATAGGATGGAGAAAGAAAGAAAGAAAGAAAGAAAGAAGGAAAGAAGGAAAGAAAGAAAAAGAAAGAAATGGGAGAAAGAAAGAAAGAAAGAAATGGGAGAAAGAAAAGAGAAGAAGGATAGGAATGGATAAAGCTGGGTATTTGATAGCAAGGATGTGCAAAGAGGTAAGGATTTGAAAGAAAGAAGAAGGCATGGAAAAAGAGACGGGCTTTAGATGAAAAGCATGAGGAGAGATAAAGAACTGTAGGTAGGAAGAGAGAGGATAAGAGATGTAAAGATTTGAAGGAAGAATAGGAGGGGGAAAAGAGGGAGGAAGGAAGGGAGAAAGGGTGAGGAAGGATAGGATGGGATGGGAAACGAGGATAGATAGATAGATAGATAGATAGATAGATAGATAGATAGATAGATAGAATGAGAAAAGAGGCAGGCAGGCAGGAAGGAAGGAAGGAAGAAAGAAAGAAAGGAGGAGGATAGTATGGGAAAAGAGGATAGATAGATAGATAGATAGATAGATAGATAGATAGATAGATAGATAGATAGATAGATAGATAGATAGAATGAGAAAAGAGGCAGGCAGGCAGACAGGAAGGAAGAAAGAAAGGAGGAGGATAGGATGGGATGGGAAAAGAGGATAGATAGATAGATAGATAGATAGAATGAGAAAAGAGGCAGGCAAGAAGGAAGGAAGAAAGAAAGGAGGAGGAGAATAGTATGAGAAAAGAGGATAGATAGATAGATAGATAGTTAGATAGATAGATAGATAGAATGAGAAAAGAGGCAGGCAGGCAGGCAGGAAGGAAGGAAGAAAGAAAGGAGGAGGAGGATAGTATGAGAAAAGAGGATAGATAGATAGATAGATAGATAGATAGATAGAATGAGAAAAGAGGCAGGAAGAAAGAAAGGAGGAGGAGGATAGGATGGGATGGGAAAAGAGGATAGATAGATAGATAGATAGATAGATAGATAGATAGATAGATAGATAGAATGAGAAAAGAGGCAGGCAGGCAGGAAGAAAGAAAGGAGGATAGGATGGGAAAAGAAGATAGATAGATAGATAGATAGATAGATAGATAGATAGATAGATAGATAGATAGATAGATAGATGGTGAAGATAAGTAAAGTGGCAATGATTTGAAAGAAGGAAGAAACCATGGAGAAAGAGACTGAGTTTAGAAAGAAATGATAATAAAGGTTAAGTTTCAGTGGAAGGAAAAAGAGGTGAGGTTTAGAAAGAAAGAATAAAAAGATATGTAAATATTTGAAGGAAGTAAAAAAAACCTCAAACTTAGAAGAAAAAGATGAAAAAGACAAGAAATGTAGGAATTTCCTTCCTTCAACTGAAGGAAGGTATAGAGTTAAAAATGAATTTAATCTAAGAGAAATATAAACGAAGGTGATAGAGAAAAGTACAAAAGGGTGACTTGAGAGAGAAAGAGAGAGAAAGTGATAAGGAAAATGATTAAAAGAATGAGGTAAGTAAAAAAAAAATTGAAGAACTATTTTTATTTTATCTTTTCAATTTTGTCTCATTTTCATATTATTATTTATATTGTTGTTATCAGGCCAATATAAAATATGCAAATTGAATAACTTAAAAGGAACTAATTAAAAAATAGTTTTGGTTTATTTTTTTTTTTAGTAATAAATTGTGCAGAAATGCAAGAAAAAAAATGAAAGGTCCAAGAATAAATTTCCAAAAAACTTTTACATTATTCTTCAATTACATTTTGGAAATAGAAGTTTTGGTTAGGGTAAAAGAGAACATTATTAAAAGAAAAATAAAGAAAACGAACATAGATAGATGTAAATATAAGTATATTAAGTATGTATAATTAAACTCTAAGCAAATGATCAGATTTAGTTTTGGAAACCCTTCTTGTTCAGGACAAGAAAATTTCAGCCACTACCAGTCTCCCAGAAAATTTCAACCCATCACTTGTCTCCCAGAAAATACAAGTCCCAACTCATCTCCTTGAAATTTCAACACAAGCCCATCTCCCAGAAAATTTCACCCCCTGCTGTCTCCCAGAAAATTTCAGCCCCTGCTGTCTCCAAGAAAATTTCAGCCCCTGCTGGCTCCAAGAAAATTTCAGCCCCTACTATCTCCCAGAAAATTTCAACCACACCACTTGTCTCAAAGAAAATCTAAGTCTCAACTTATTTCCTTGAAATTTCAGCACTCATCCATCTTCTAGAAAATTTCAGCCTCTATCCGTCTCCCAGATAAATTTCAGCCCTGCCACTTTTTTCCTAAAAAATTTAAGCCCCCATCCATCACCCAAAAATAAATTCACCTGCTATCCCTTGCCCAATAAATTTCAGTGTCACACCCAACAACATCTTTCAGAAAATTTCAGCCCTGCTTTCTGAGAGGTGGAGAGTGAATATGAGCAAAAGACAGAAAAAAAGGGGAGGGATAAAAATTGTAATAATGAGAGAAAGAGAGAGAGAGAGAGAGAGAGCATGAGTGAAAGACAGAAGTAAAAGAGAGAGAGATGTGGTACATGTTGAGAAAAGAGAGTGTGGGGAGGACAAACATTGAGAAAAGAGAAAGTGAAGAAAACAGAAAAGTAGAAGAAAAAGAAAAGAAATATCAAGAAAAAATAGAGAGGAAAGCAATAAAAATTCAAGAAATAAGAGAGAGAGAGAGAGAGATAATAAGACAAGCAAAGAGGGTGAGAAACAAGAAAGAGAAAGATGAAATTTCTAGCAATGAGAGAGAGAGGGGGGAGAGAAAAACTGAGAAATGACAGAGAGCTGAGAAAAGAGAGAGTAAGATGAAAAACAAGCAAGGAGAAAAGTTTGAGAGAAAAAAGGGAGTAGAAAAAGAGAGGGTTGAAAAGATGAACAAGGAAAGAGGGAAGAGAAAAGAGAAAGGGAAAGTCTATATAAAGAGAAGAAAATTCGAAAAATAGCTAACAAAGAGAGAAACACAGAGAAATAAAGGGAGGAGAGAGAGAGAGAGACAATAAATTTTAGAAAGAGAAAAATTCAAGAAAAATGGAAGGGAATAGAGAGAAGTGAGAGAAAGATAAAATGACAAGGAAAAGGGAGAAAAGTGAGTGGGAGAAAAAAATTCTAAGAAACAGCAAATGACGAGATAAAAAATTAAGAAAAGAAAGAGTACAGTAAAAAAGCAAGGAGAGAAGATGAAGAGAAAGGCAGTAAATGAAAGAGAGGGATAACAAGATAAACAAAGAAAGAGGGAAGAGAAAAGAGAAGCGAGATGGAATGTCTGTACAAAAGAGAGAAAAGGAAAATCAAGAGAAGACAGAGTGAAAAGAGAAATCGATAAAAAGGAGAGAGAGAAGTTGAAAAGTGAGAGGTAAAGAAGAACAGTTTGAGAGAGAGAGAGAGAAAGGGAGAGAGAGAGAGAAGAACAGTCTAACAGAGAAAGAGAAGAAAAGTGTAATAAAGAGACAGAGTGAAAAGAGAAATCGATAAAAAGGAGAGAGAGAAGTTGAAAAGTGAGAGGTAAAGAAGAACAGTTTGAGAGAGAGAGAGAGAGAAGAACAGTCTGACAGAGAAAGAGAAGAAAAGTGTAATAAAGAGACAGAGTGAAAAGAGAAATCGATAAAAAGGAGAGAGAGAAGTTGAAAAATGAGAGGTAAAGAAGAACAGTTTGAGAGAGAGAGAATAACAGTCTGACAGAGAAAGAGAAGAAAAGTGTAATAAAGAGACAGAGGGAAAAGAAAAGTCGATAAAAAGGGGAGAGGAAGAGAGAGGCGAAGAAGAACATTTTGAGGGAGAGAGAGAGAGAGAAAAGAACAATCTGACATAGAGAGGGAGGAGAAAATTTGCAAGAAAGGAGGGAAAATTGAATTTGAAAGCCACAGTAAATAATCAATGACTTATGATGAGTTGGATACAGTTTTCCCCCTTGTCAATTGTCTCAACTTCACCTCAACCATGAATTCTTTATTTTCACGCCGCACTCATTGAGTACCAAACTTCTTGGTGCTTCACTCCATGCTATTAAGATTGCTAATAGTTTAAAATCCCACATTACATTAAAAACAAAAAAAAAAAACAGACGAGTTTGTGTCTGATTTTGTTAAATGTAGCGTTTTAATCAATGTATAAGGTTTTCTTTGGAATTTTTTCTTTTTGTTTATGTGTTGAGTGAGAACAGACCACACTAATCTTTTTATAACACTGGTTTACAAAGACATTTAGGCAAGTGTAAAAATAATTTTGGGGGTGCTGATTTCAGATATGAAATACATTTTTTAACCTGTCATCTCTAGTTTATTTAATGAAACACGCTTGAATGAAAATATGCTGCCTAAATACACACATACACATACATAACGATGGCTCAAGTTGCTACTCAAGATTCATGCTCTAGTGATCTTTAAGTAACTAGGTTTCATACGAAACAAAATCTTGGATAGTGTTCTATTGCCTGAAGATCGTGAAAGCATGAAATTTCTACAGCGTCTTGAGTTGCTATTCATTGTGGGTTGACACTTTTTATGTTTATCTATATAATGTAGGTGTTGAGCACCTTTAATTTACTGCTTAGGTAAGTGTTTGCCTTTAAGTCTCTTGTTTTTCTTTTCTTGTTTGGGATTTTTTCTTGTTTAAGATATTAGGTCTTCTGGCAGATTGTCTCTTTTGTCACATCAACATTGTTTGTTTTTTAGTGTATATATATATATATATATATATATATATATACACCGGATATAAAAGTAAAATTTATATATATATATATATATATATATATATATATGTGTGTGTGTGTGTGTGTGTGTGTGTGTGTGAAAAATATATAGAAAATAGGAAAGAAATCGTTAGGTAAATAATCCAAAGTTCTTTAGTATTTTTGTTATTATTTTTTAAAAATATTGCTTGATACAAAAGTAGAGCATAAATATAATTATTTATTTAAAAATATGATTCCAACACGCTACATAAGAGTTCTCATGTTTCAAAACAAGAGCCGAAAGCTTCAATATAATTATTTGAATTAAATTGAATTAAATTACTAAGCTCTGTTCCATCTTCAAGCGAAGTTTTTTTGGAATAAATTATTTCTGAAATTTGCGTGTTTTATAAGCTTATAAATTTAAGCAATTTAGTTCCATCAATGCTTTGTATCTAAGCTGGATTTTGTAATATGTCTTCCTAATAGATAAAATAAACACATAATTTGACTTTATATGCAATTCACACTCCTCCCCAGTCTTTTGAATAGGAGTAGAGGTTTATATCAGGTTTCCTGTTCCTTCTAAAATCTTTTCATTCTCTTTTACTCACTGTAGTCCCTTGCGTCTTAATGGATTTATTGCCTTACTTGGGGTGAATTGATTAAAAATGTAAGCAGTACAAATCAGGAATAATGACTGATTTTTTTTACAGTTTATCAATACCTTGTAGGTTATTTAAAATTAAAGCATATTTTGTATTGTAAGAATAATAATTTTTTTGCAAGTGAATATTGCATCGAGAATAATCATGATTTTTCTAGATAAAAGTCGTACTTTTTTACCCATAAAAAACTCACTTCTGTCTGCTGTACCATGTCTCTGTATTGTATTATCCAAGTAATTTACTTCCGTCAATGCTTTGTATCTATGCAGTATTTTTTTGCAATATGTCTTTGTAACAGATAAAATAAACACAGTATATTTTGAATTTATATGCAGTATAATAAAAATGTTACATGTGAAAGTAAAAAAAAAAACTAAAGGTGATAGTGGAAAACAGTTTAGAAATTTGAATTCACCATGTGAAAATTAGTAAAAAAAAAAAAAAAATTTGTGAACCTGTGTAGGAGTAGATATGTTTGCTCTATTGCTTGTTTCCCACTCCTTGCTGGTTTTTGAACAGGAGTAAAGGTCTATCCCTTGTTTCCTCTCTAGGATTGAGTTTCCAGTTCCTTTTAAAGTCTACTTCAATTTTATACTCCTAACTCTTAGCATCTGAACTCTCAAATGTTATTTATTAGTTATTTATTAATTTTTTCCCCATCAATAGGAGTAGACAGGTTTGCCTATCGTCCAGTTCACACTCCTCCCACGTTTAACTTCTTCCCTCTGAATCTCAGAGCAGTGAGTGATGGAGAAAGTTTCCAGCAAGATATTACTGAGATGGAAAGGAACTACCAAGGCAAGTGGAACCCCAGCATGGTGGGGGACTTCTACTGGATGCTCCTGCACGACATACCTGATGCAAAGTACATGAGATCGTCAAAAAAAAAAAAAAACTTTTTTTTTGTAAGCGTTTCACCCCAAGCAAGGCGGGAAGCCACTAGGACGCAAACGGCTACAGAAAATTTGGAGCAAGATTAGATAGGAGTGATAGAAGAAAGGATGAGGAGAAGGATAGTGGATAGATCAAGGCAACTGGAGATGTCGATTGACATTACATTTGAATAGTTGGAGATTATAGCTCTCAGGGAAACTGGAATAGGGAAGGGAGTTCCACAGGCAAGAGGTGCGAGACATGAAGCTATTGGAGTAGAAGAGACAGCTACATTTAGAAGTTTTGACAGTGAAGGGGTGAGAGCGGGATGCCAGCCTCGTAGGGCGCTTGAACTCATGAAGTCTGGGAACCAGCGAATGCAGCTCTGACTGTACCATGTCTCTGTATGGTATTATCCAAGCAATTTAGTTCTGTCAATGCTTTGTATCTATGCTTTTTTTATTAATATGTCTTTGTAATAGATAAAATATACACATATTTTGAATTTATATGCAGTATAATAAAACTTTGATATGTGAAAGCAAAAGAACTAGTGCCGATAGAGCAACATTGTTCAGAAATTTAAATTCAGCACATCAAAATTAGTAAAAAAAAAACAAACCCAAAATAAACACCTATTCACATGCTTGCCTCAGAGAAAATATTTTTGTTTTTTTTGTAAACCAGTGATAACTGCTGATACCTGCTGATGAGTGGACTCTTTTCACACCAATCCTTTTATAATTAAATCAAAAGAGCGAATATGAAAACTGCATAAGCCCAATACATAAATTGGATAACATAATTAGTAGCATATAGTATGAATAGCACGCAATAAACTAGGAAGTACACAGGTGTAGAGGAAGGTATGAAATTCAAAGAGCGGCAATGTGGTCACAAGGGTGTCAGAAAAAAAACCCAGAAACAAAGGGAGGTAACAAAAAAAGAAAAAAAAAGAATATGATGTGAATAGGTGAATGAGATGCACTGTAGCCTCGAAGTAGGTTTCAGCAACATTCTAGGACATTTTTCTTATACTAAAGTTCACCCAGTACAAGACTCGAGAACCACTCAAAGTAGGTGGTTATTGTTAAAATGATTATGATAAACAGAGTGTGTGATATAAATAGCAAGAGTAAGTGGTAGGAAGTGAATATTATGAGCATAAAGAGGATAGATGATGATTTGAGAATCATCTGAGGAAGGCTAGCAGATAGATACCTGGTCGAAAATCTGTGAAAAAAAAAATATTAGCTTGAATAAAATGATATAAATATAGAGTAAGCCACTATTACTGGTTTGGCAATGACAGCTTCATGAATAAATAAGCTATATTGATACAACCACTTTCTAAGATCAATGATTAAAAATGACTGTAGGTCTTAACAGAGACCACCCTTCATAGAACCTTATCGTCAGGCACTACAGAATCGCAAACAAAGGACTGCACCAAATAACAGAAACCACATCACTTGAGGGCTTTCAACATCAGCAATAGCTAAAACGGATATTACATATATCTAGAAGAGAAAATAATGACATAATCAAGAGGCTAATACTCCAACCCGCCACAGTTCCCCTTAAACTGTGCCTCTTACTCTGTAACACTCTACCTCAAGTGGCTCTTGGGCCATGTGCAGGTTTAACATCATTGTAAAAATCAAAACAACTACTTCAAATAAAAGTTTAGGAAGGAAGGAACCCACACACATCAGTACTGGAAAGAGTGCTAACATCTACTGGACTTGAGAAATCCATTTTCCTGGAAAATTGTTTTAAGAAAAAGAATATATTTCATCTGAAAGCAGTAATGGCTGCTCAGTCAATTAATGCCAAATGTTTCCTTGTAAGTAAATAGTTAATATTATTAATATCATTACTAAGAGAAGACGACTATTCTATGTGTAATGTAAATGGTTAAGTTCGGTTAGAGATTGAAAACTGTAGCTTCGCAATATAGACATTTGTTTGCTGTTGGCATTGGTCAGGAATTAAAGCAATCATTCAAATAAAAGTTTAGGAATGAGTGTTAATAGCTACTGGACTTGAGAAAACTGTTTTTCTGAAAAATTGTTTTTAGCAGAAAGATTTTATAAATTTCAACCATAAGCAGTACTGGCTGTTTGGACAATGAATGCTGAATTTTTGCTTATAAAGAAATGACTGATATTACCATTACTGACAGAAGAGGACTATTCTATGTATAATGTAAATGGTGGTTTAAGTTAAAGACTGAAAACAGCAACTTCAAAATATAGACATTTGTTTCCTGTTGGCATTGGTCTGGAATTAATGCAAGCATTCAAATAAAAGTTTAGGAAGGACCTCCCACCAGCAGTACTGGAATTAGTGTCAATAGCTACTGGACTTGAAAAACCTATTTTCCTAGAAAACTGTTTTTAGACAAAGATTTTATAAATTTCAACTGAAAGTAGTGCTGGCTGCTCAGTCAATGAATGTCAAATGTTTCCTTATAACGAAATGGTTAATATTAGCATTAGTATTAGATCTCCAATTGTTACTATGCTGCCATCTTTATTTCTTGAAATACTTTGTCAGCATTAGTTGGTTAATTTTATAATTGCAATACCAATTTTATTGTAATATTGGAACAGCTAGTGGGGACAAATTTATTCAATTATCCAAATATACGCATTACCA